TCGGTCTGGCCACGCCTTCCGACCGGACTCATCGGTTGTTAAGTGGGGATGGCTGTTGAAATTCCCCCTCAACAGGCTTTTGGGCAACTTGAAGCTGCACTTCGCCGTGGTGCTGCCACACACAGAACTGGGGATCCGTCTTTGGCTAGGATCTTCAGGGGCCACCTCTGTTCACCCGATTTTGCATGTTTTTCCATTTCTGCCATCTAACGCTTTTGCAAGAAGAGCCAAAATCCTTTCGGATCTTGGGAGCTCAAATCTGGATTGGCAAAATCCCTCCGTTCTTTTTCCTCACGTTATGGCTGTTCTGTAACAAGCCCTTGGACGTGGAGGTTCAATGGTGCAAATGCTGCCCGCATTTCGCTTATGCCCTCTAGTTCCTGGCTCGCCACGAACAACAAGCAACTTCAGCATTCACTCCGTGAAATCTGGCGTAATTTCCTTTATGCCAAGTGAACTGCCGGTCCCAGAATCGATAGTCGCCTTGCTGGGCATGTGCCCTACAGCGAGCATCGCTGTGCTGCGGCCCGTGGTATGGCCGCTCAGTCACCACACCATACTGCACTTCTTGTGGGTGCCAATGTGTCTCCTGCCAAGCTATCCGTCATGATGCAAGAACGTAGGCCTGCACGCAGTACTCGTAAGGATCCTGCCCCTGTGTTTGCCTGCCACTTCTGTCATCAGGCAGGGGCTGACCTCCAGCACGTGGTTTGGTCTTGTGCGCAGCGACAGGATGGGGAAGGGAAGCCACCTCCTGCTATCCCAGTGTGTCCTCTCCAGAAGAAGTACGACTGTCAGATCCTTGAATGGATGGTGTTTTGCAGGCAAAAAATCCTGCAGGAACGGTGGTCTTGACAAGACAAACCTTTTCAACTGCTTGAACGTGTTGAAGGGATCAAAAGTTTTTGTTTTGATCACTCCTGACTTGATGAAAGCCGTGTAGGGGCTTCTCAGGCTCCATTGTGCTCTGCCGCCTCGCCTAGCTTTGTGCTGGCTGAAGGGTTGAGCGCTTTTTCCGTAGTTATTAGGTTAATTTGTGGTTTAGGCCCGTGGTTCTCCCGCCTTAACCCTTTTTGACACCGCCCGTGTCTGAGCTTGCGAGCTTTTTTGTCCACTGCTGTGGTATGCACAACGTAAGCAGCAAGTCTATGCTGCACTGCCCTGGCGGCTGCCCCCCTCAAGTTGCTGCTTGGTGGGCGCCTTTAACAAAAAAATCCTTCTTCATACGATGTAGAAATGGTCATGTTCTTTTACAAACGCATGTATTTTGCCAGATGGCTGCGTCTAGCATCTGTGAATGTGACAGTCTAGGTCTTAGATCCAGCAAAACCATTCACAACAATCCGGCAAAAAACATCCGCGGTTTTCCCGCAGGCGGGCACCCAAAATCAGACCCCATCACCTACTGGAAAGTTCTGAATTGTGCCTGCCAATGAATATGCGCATTGTCCGCATCTACTTCAGCTGCATTCTTGGGTTTTTCCGGGCGATAGCCGAACTCGGCGCTAATTCTCAACTTCACTACATAGGAACCACAATTTTGATCCGCAAGCGCGCTCACCAAGTTCTGCTTCAAATTTCTGATTGCTCGGACTTCCGAGTCCTTCTACTTCCGTCAAGGTCAGTCCTTCCACTGTTCGCAGATGCGTGTAACCAATAGCGCATAGAGAGAGAAGCTTCCTTTTAGAGTTTTGCGTTCATCTCTCGAAGAATCACAACTACCGGGATGTTGTAGACAGTAACCGCCTATAGGGATTTCTAGGTTTCGTAAAGGGATGGGAAAGAAAATGGAAGCTTCAATTTTGTTATCTAGGGTTTTGTGGGATTGAACCCCCAACCCCCTACCATTAAATACTCCCAATAAGATATACTCGGTTTCTCAACCAGAGCATGGCGACCTAAGCTACTGTCAATAGTGGGGTTAGGGGGCCCTGTGGTAATGGATTGTAGTTACGAATATATCTCTAAAGAGGAAATTTGATTATAGTTCCTACGGCCTACAGAAACAAAACACTGAGGCACTTTCACGCGGACATTTCTCTCCATGTTTGAACTCCTCTTCGCGAACTGGTCCCCGCCTTGTAGAGTGCTGGTCGAGCAGCTTCTCCGGGTGCAGCATTTTTTGTTTTATCATGAGTAACAGAGTCGTACAGATCGATTACAGCAATGTTGGACAATGACAGCAGAGGGCCTTTTTTCATGTCCAAGTAGGCCTAACCACAAGACAATAAGCTTTCGCCCCAAGACTTGAACCCAATAGCTCCATAGGGATATAGAGACTGTTTGTTTAAAGGCTTCAAAGGGCCTGCTAAACGACAGGGATCCATTACCCCATTCCTTGAGTCTTTTCCCCCGAATCTCTACTGGCATGTGTCGGTGGCCTCAGGAACATCAGCGAGTGGTTCTCCATTTACTTCCTCCTTTACAGGCTGGAGCACTCTTGCACTTTTGAGCCATCGGCAGGAAGTAGTTTCAGCGCAGTCTGAAGTAGGGTTATAAGTCTGCCCAAATGTGGGCAGCTAGCTTTTTGGACAGGGTCCTCTAACGCCATATTGGCTAGAATTGAGCTGTTTGCTTGGACTTTCGCCTAGGTGTTGCAATGCTACCATTCGCCATGCTTACAAGCAAAACCCCTTGCTCCAAGTAAATTGTTTCCTGTGTTTGAAGTCGAAGTCCCAAGCCCAAGTCTCCTTGTTTGTGGTGGGCTCATAGGATGGGCGGTTGAACGAATGGACGCGGCGCGCAGTGTGGGCGTGGGGTGCTTTCCCTTCTGCCCTTCCATAGCAAAGCTTCCGCAAACGTGATTCAACCGTCAAACAAAGATTCAAGCCCATGACTAGCCATTGGGCCAGTTCCTGCCAATTCATCCTCCCATCGATTCTGCACGCTCTTTAAATCCAAGCCGCGATATCGCCGGAAGACCTGAGGTTTCGCCAGCTTTTGGAGTTCGTTTTTCTCGTCTAGGATCCGGGCTTTCTTGGCATATGTGACACCAGTTCCGAGATTGCGTGAGGCCTATTGTTTTTCTTGCCCTGTCAAATAAAGAAGGCACAGGCCATAGTATATAGGCCATGTACGGTAGTGAGGTGAGGTATTCCACATACTCTATAAATCAGAAAGCCTAGTCCCTGACAATTGTCGTTGCAGACAACACAGTGCTATGTAATGTGCCTACGGAGGGGTATAGCCTTACACATATAAGCCCTACAAGGCGCACTAACCCTAGAAACTCTAAATCTTAAACCTTAAATCCTAACTCATAAGCCCTAAGCCCTAAACCCGAGTCCTTGGCCAGAGCAGGTGTGTCCTTGGCTATGCTGTACTGAACGTAGTTTCAGCCGTCTTCGTCCAGCAGACCATGAAGACGGCGAGTTCAGATGAGGAGCTTGCGTTTAAGCAGAAGGAGAGGGCATCTTGGACTTGAAAGCTTTCTTTGGAAGATTTGAGGGTCCCAATAATGAGGATTATTCGATTGTAGTGGTCCATATTGGGGCCCCCTATTTTGGAATACATGCTGGATGCTGTTGGGAGGCTTATAGGGGTTGTAGCTGTGGTTTGAGGAAGGGCCGCTGCGGATCTGGCATGGTCTTTGGGGTGGAACCAAGGTCACAGACTTGCTTGTCATCTACCCGAGAAACTCAGAGCCAGAACTTTCAAACATGAGCTATATAGTCTAAACTCCTTAAAGGGCGTTATACAGGGGATTATATAGGGGACTATTATAGGAGTTATTAGGGGGATACTAGGAATTTAGATGTTGGCTCACATGAGGAAACACTAGTCAATAGGCGGGTGAAGTTCTCTCAATCGAAGGCCCCGTGTCCGTCTAGGGTTCCTCGCAATCCGATTACGCATATATGCCTGTGACTACATTTGCCGCCAAGCGCACAAGAAAGATCCTAGCAATCACGTTTGGGTGAACTTTGGTTTTGGTGATGAGCCACACCCACACGCACCACCAAGGACATTGCAATGTACACCAGGAATCTGGGACTTGATTTGGATTTTGATGTCTTCTTGAACATTGCAGCGCGGTCATAGCCCACAATCTGCTTGCTGTTATGCACATCTCGAATTGTTGTGCAAACCCCAAACACGCTACAGGAAAGTCAGAAGACTGTTCCAGACGATGGATGTTTCGGGCGACGGAGTAATCAACTATGAGGAGTTCTCCAAGCTTGTGAAGTCCCCAATGCTGAAGCCGCCTAGAAGCAGACTTCATAGGATATTGCGACACAGGATCGGTTTCAGGATTTAGGGTTGAACGTCACATCTTTTGAGAGGTTATTCCAAATCTTGCTTTCGTGGAAGTTTTCCTTCTTGCAGAAGCAGCATGCCCAGGGTTTAGGGGTTTAGGGTTGAGAGCTTAGGTCGTTGTAGTCCTGAGACATCTGGCCACTAAAGAGGACGAGGATTGGTACAAGCACAGGACAACGTAAAATTTCGCCCGCCCCCTAAGATTGCTTGCTTCGAAACATGGAAGGCCTTCTGGGGACGGCATGTGCTATATTTAGCTACGTCCGACAAGATTCGGACCATAGGATCTCTGACTGGTCACGAAACTAATACGGCCGTGATAGATGTGGATTTTGACCATAGGTCTCCCTTAGGAGGGCCTCCACCCTGTAAGAGTGGTATAGTAGGAATATAAGAGGGCCCTAATATGATCACCATTATGCCTTAGAGTCACAATTACTGGATGGGAGGTGCACCTAAGATCATGCATTTGTTCCAAAGCCAGGAGTGGCTGCCCTATACAGCTCGAACCTTAAACCCTGATTCGCATCCTTCCAGTCAGCAACAACAAGCTCTGGGAAGCTCAAGACTTGCAACCGGATAGGGTTTAGGATTTCTGCGTGTTATCTACAGACTTTACGGCCCCTTGTAGGTATTGTTTCTAGACTCAGAGCCCCTGGGTGTCACTTTAGACTCCCACCTGTGTAATGAATGAAACAGGAACTTGTTGAATTCTATGGTACATACGGATAGTTGAGCCGTGAGACCTTGGACGCTGGAGGTTACCACCGTCTTTGTGCCATTAATGGTAGCTCCCCAAAACAGGAGGACCCCAATATAGACCCCAACATTTTACATGATAATCCTCGGAAGGAAGCCTTAAAAAAAGAGCCCCTAATTATCAGAGCCCACCAGCCAAGCTTCAAGATTGATGAAGGTTCAGGCTCAGCGGATTCTTGGTCTCCCTCGCTACACCCAGAAAAAGCTACCCCGAACTCATGTTGTTTACACCCCCTGCAGAGGTTTCTCACGGTAAACCTCCGTCCCCGAAAGCCTGAACCCTAAACTCAAAATTCAATCAGGGTCTAGGGTTTAAGGGTTTAGGGAAAACATGCACTTCCTGTTGCAAATCCTTGGCTTTCTGGGGGCTTTGAGCAATCCCCCCATTGGGGATTTGAGCTTGATTGAGGAAAGCCATCTTCTGCGGATTCAAGTGCCCAGATATTGGGGCTTCAGCTCCCAAATAATTACCATGATCAGAGCGGCTTTGGGTACCTAAAGCCCTCGTACTTGAGATGCTACAGACTCATTTGAATGCTTTTTGGTACCTAAAGCCTCAATGTTCGGATAACCACAACTATCTCCTTCTCGATATTCCTGAGGAACTCCTTGATCAATACGATCCTTTTCCTGAGGACCCATGTTTGAGGAGACACTAGGCCTTGGGGTTCGGGCTACCGAAGGATGCCTCTGGACACCCCACGGCGAAGCTTCTGCTTGCTGAGCTTTATGGTTGTTGCTCTAAAGCTACTATGATTCCTCATAATTAGTTGTTGCAATTCTAGGTGTTCTGAATAAAGACGAAAAACGACCAGGTCTCCCAAGCAGCCGAGCCTGCTCCTTCATCTCTCAAAAGCGGGTGCCATGCCGTTGGATCCCGATTCTTAGGGACCCCCTCAAAGAGGTCATTGTTTTAGAGATCCCCAGTTTTTGAAATAGACCCAGGTTCTGGATGAGTCAGTTGGAGTTGGAGTACCATGATCTTATGTCGCTGTTTGAGCAGCTCGGCAGGACGACGGGTGGCCTAGGGTTCAGATATTGTAGGACATGGAAGGGCGTGTATTTTCCGGAGTTTTCGCTACAGTTGGAATGAGTTAGGACTGAACCACCGGCGTCATTTTGAGTTTGAAGGTTAACTGCTTCACAAGTTTTAGCGATTCACAACACAAGAGGTTCGCAGCTACGGCTTACACTTTAGGCACTCAACCCTTGTGATGCAAACTGCCTTCACAGAACCCTGTAGCCTAAGCAGAACATCAGAATGCATAATTGTTTTTTCCCGCCTCGCCCCAACTTCATATACCCTGGGTTCTGTTCTGTTTTGATGAAGCTTCGAAAGCAGTTGCAGTCAGCTGTCTTGGACTGAAAGTACAGACCCATTGTGTCTCAATACGCATGTACTTAGCCCTCTTCGCGAAATGAGCTACAGTCTAAAATCCTGAAAAGGGGGTCATATGGGCGATCATATGGAGTATTGTGGGGTATAGTAAGGGGGATACTAGGAGTTTAGACTGCAGCTCATATGGCCACTGTAGAACAAAACTTGCCGAAGAATTCACACAAGCCGCACCCTTGAAAACGACCGTAAACCCTAAACCCTGACCGTTCTTGCAGACGAAAAAGGTCCAATAAAAAACAAAAACCTAAACCTTAAACCCTAAACTCCAAACTCCCTGAACCCTTGGATTGGGTCATCCCCTGCGCCTGGATCACAATGTTAGCAGCGTTTCGTTGGGTGCCATCAAGTCTGGCCCTTCAAAATGGGGAGGTACCTTTTGGGGATCCCTGTATTAAGATTCGAACGTTTGGGTTCTTAATTGGGTTCCCCCTATTTGGGGAAACTACCATGTAAGTCCTTCCCTCAACGTCAACCGATATGAACATATCACTAGGTTGGGTAAGACAGCAACAGTGATGCGTGTGACAACCGAAATACCCCCAAAGCCCCGAATCACAAAACCCTGGGCATTCAAAATTCAGTGGGCTGATTATGTCCCATGTAGCCCTTATTCAGAAAGGCTTTGCTCCCTCCGTTCCCTCCCGCACCTTTCAGACAGATAAAAGCGTGCAAGATGGATCTGCTGAGGTTTCTGGATAACGGAGACGGGGAAATCACGTTAATGGAGTTCATCGAAGGTGCCCAACATGGTTGGCCGTATGTCGCTGTTGTTGCATGTGCGGCTGATGTCCATTGATGAAGATGCTTCCCCATTCAGGCAGTTGCTTTGCAATAGGGAAGATCAACGTATTTGACAGGTAGAAGCGGAACCCTTGCTGGGAGAGATTGCCAATCAGATGAAACACAGAAAGTTAGAAGTCGATGATTCCTTATTATGTTGGATCACAGATTTTGTGGCCTAACCCGTAACCCTGAAAGATTCTATAAGGACTTGAACCTGCTTTGTTGGATCCCTTATATGGCCGTTCCTTCCCGACCGTACCTGTAAGAGCCTTCTTTTGAAATGCCGGAACACTTCTGAAGCATAGTCCTGAATCCTAAATGTTACACCTGAGTCCCAGATGCTAGAACAAGTGACATCCCTGAATGCAGCAGCGTGGAACCCCAAAAGGGCCTCACCCCAAACCCTAAACCCCAAACCCTAAACCCTACACTGGCTGACCAGCTCGAAGCTGCGGTAAAGTCTCCCAGAACAACCAGCCCCCCGCTTAGCGGCGCTTTCTATCTAATAAGGGCCTCCCAGGCGCCTCTCCCAGCACTCCTCCAAAGGTTTCTGGTTTGGCTGGGGCCTCCAAAGGCCTTTTCATCCCAAATTCCCAAAAACTAAGGCCAGGGCTCCAAAAGGACCTGCTAGCTTTGAAGTGCCCCTCCATTTCTCCAAAGGCTTTGTAGAGGCCTCAGGATCCACTCGCGGAGGCCGGCCAAGGCCTCTGCAACCCCTATCCGTTGCTCGAATCGTTTATTCCTGAATTTCAGAAATTTGAGATGCTTACCTGCGTCGTGACGAGGAGTGAACAGCAGGGGTTCGGAGGTAGGAACCCTGAACCCTCAATGAGCATAATTTGGGTGGCTGGGGCGGGATCACTACGTTGCGCACGCGCAGAAAAGGCGCACACCCCGCACCGCTCGCGTCCACTGATGCACACCCTAAGCCCCCAAACCCCAAACCCTAAGCCCCAAGCCCTAAACTCCAAACCCCAAACTCCAAACCTTAAACGCCCTCGGAGGCGCGGCCCGGCTGCGTGGCGGAGCAAAGGCGCTGGACATCTGGCGGATCGAAACCAAGGTCTGGCTCATGTGAGATTCAGGGTTTGGGGTTTAGGGTTTGAGAGTTAGAAATGGTTTGAGTTCGGGTTGACATCTAAGGCTTAGTGGTGCAGGCTTAGAGTTCAAATGCTTAGAGTTTAAGGTTTGAGGTCGAGGGCTTGAGGTTGAGAACTTGGGTTTAAGGTAACAGGTTAAGATCGCAGGCTGGGGGTTCCGGGCTCATAGGAATGGTAATCCTGTACCTCTTACAACAAGCGGAGCATTGTCAGCGTATAACCTTTGCTAGGAACACAATTTTAGTATAACATGTTCCAAAGCCTCTGCTACTTGTCTTTCGGCTGCGGGGAAGGCTTAGGTGTGGGGTTGAGGGCTCGGGGTATAGGGTTTACAGGGTAGACGAATTGACGTATACGATTTAGGGTTGAGGTTTAGTACTCAAAGAACTCAGAGAGTGGGGTTCTAGCTTTGCGGAGTAAAGCTTAAGGGTTGTTGATGTTTGAGGTTTTCCGGCTTGCGGCGCGGCTCCTATGATTATCTGGCCTTGTCCTGGCTTTTTTGACAAAGAAGGACCACAAGTAGAAGAAGTAGAAGAGCAGTAGTGGCGGTAGCAGCAATGATACACAGTGTGATGTCTTTTTGTTCTCTCTAGTGGTTGCGGCAAGGGTCGTTGTAGTGATAGTGGTAGTTGCTGGTGGTGGGGGTGCTGGTAGTGGTGATTCGGAGTGGTGGCTATCAGGGGGCAGCGGTGGAAAGCCATACATATCTGGCTGGTTTTCACTCCATTGCGCAAGAGCCTGAGAGAAAGATATGGAGTTGCAAATTGGAAGTTATACTCGTAAAGCTGAAAATCCTAGGTTCTGCCCGGTTCAAGTGTTTTGGACAGTAGTTAAGTGCCTCGAGCTGGGTAATTATGGAGGATCGCCCATCTGGTACTTAATCTGATACCTAGACGGCAGAAAAGCACACCCTTCAAGAGCCATCCCTTGGTTTTGAGCTTCGACCTGCGAACCCTTACCCCAGCTCCCAAGACCATCCCTAAGACGTTCAGCCATGAACTTGGTATACTATAGTACCATCATGCCCAAGGCTTAGGAAGCTTGGGATCATGCAGGAGTCTTAGTATCAACTTTTTGATTAACGCCTATATGGGGGCCGTCCTAAAACCCTTGTTTACATTTTATATAAAGCCGGAACATGTGAGAAGCAAAATCAGCGCTTTTCTGTGGTCGCGAAAGATCCGTGAAAGCACGGCGAAAGGGCCAGCGAAAGGGTAATATCATGTGTGTCAGCATATATGCTTTTATCGTCGTCAGAT